CCGGCCCGGCGGGTCTGTCATTCCACAAGTTTTGAAATTTTTAAAAAAACACATAAGAGGGGACCCTTATGTGATTTTTTTCGAGTTTTTTAAAAATACTTTTTGATCAAACAGACAAACAATCTAAAAATTCAAAAAATAATGGAGAAAATTGTATTGGGAGCTCAAAATTTGGCTCAAAATGACAATATTTTTGCTACCGGGCCTTCCGGGCCGGCCCGGAATTTTACAAGTATGATTTTTTGGAATTTTTGAAGTTTGCAATTATCGATTTTTTTCAGCCAAATGTCAATCTACATGGACGTGCTGAACATCTTCATTCGACTCGTCATGATTATGGGCGGAATGAGTGGAAACAAGAGAAAATAAATGATTTTTTCTACTTCTTATAAAAGCTGTATCTTGTAAATACTAGATTCTTTTTAACCCATTTTTCTCGATTTTCGTACGGTTGCCTCTTCTTTTTTTCTCTTTTTTCTCTCCCGATTTTTTCGATTCAATTCGATGCGATTAGCGCCAAATACAAGACTTTGTAGTGTCTTAAAGTGTTTATTCACTGGAAATTCCACTCTTGAAATCCTAAAATGCTCAAAAATGCCGAAAAATAATTGAAAATATTTTTTTCTACAAAATGGGTTTTCCGTGGCGAGACTCATGGAACAGTATCGAATGATGCGCCTTTAAAGTTTACTGTAGAAATCTTGAATATTATCTTTTTTGAGCAAAGTAGCTCGAAATTACATGATTTTCAGAGGATAAAACCTTTAAAAATTAGAATCCAAATGTTTTCACAGGAATTTCTAAAAAAGTAAAATTTTGGCATTTTTCTCGAAAGATGGTTATTCGTGGCGAAACCCACAAGACAAAATCGACTAATGCGCCTTTAAATTTTACTGTACTTTTCTGATGACTTGTTTTGTCAACTCAGCAAAAAACCGCAACAGTTGTGCAGCATTTGCACGTCTAACAACAGTTCCGACACACTAGCGCTACAGTTATGCAGCAAGTTGAGCAAATTGTTGGAGTACAACAATGATACATCACCCTCGCTCAGCTGTAGAGGAGTTCGCGCCCGCAGCAGTTGCACAGCATCTGTGCGTTCTCCTACAGGTATGCTGCAGCTGTGCAGCATCTTAGCAGCACAACGACACTCCGAATCCCATACTGCGCCCGGTTTAGCAGAATTTTATTTTTGATTTTCGAAATTATTTTCAGGCCTATTTTGATTCTTTTTGATGTTTTTAATAGCGTTTTCGTCTTATTAGTAAGCTATTTTATGATTCAGAGCTTCGAGCAAATGCACCGAATTCGCAGTGCGACAACCCTCTCGACTTGGAGTGAACGAATTGGGACCAATAACTTAGGTAAGTTTTGTAATGTTTTCCCAATTTTTCAATCGTAATAGAAATTTCAGTGTTCCCCTGATTCGAAAGTTGACTGAAGGCGAGTTCAGCAGATTCATGGTTAGAAGTCGGACGAAAAATCAGGAGAAAAAAGTAAAGAGGTACGTAATGTTTTTTCTTTTCTTATGTAATTTCTTACAAAAATTTTTGTAGTCTCCTACATCTTTTGAATTAGCTAAATTTCAGATTGCGTTCCATCTATGAAGACTACGACACACGCCCATCAACGAAATTTACCAAATTTTTGAATTGTGCTCGACAGGACTCCTCGAAAATATATTAATTTCTAATTTTTCGTTATATTTTTAAATGTAAATAATTGTTGTATCAATAAATATTGTGATATTAAATTGTACCAAAGCCGTTTTTTATCTGATAAAAATAGTAAAAAGCGAGGATCCGCGCGGCCGCCTCTAGGTACGATACAGCACTTGCGCAGGATCTGTAATACTTTTTCCCTACAGTTCCACAGCATTTGCGCAACAGTTTCAGGGTCGACGGGCGCCTGTTGCGCAAGTGAGGCACTACTGTTGCGGTTTTTTTTGCTGAGAATTAGCTTGAAATTACTGATTTTTCACAATGAACAAATAGAAAAATTCACATTCTTTATTTACAGAAGTTAAAAAAAAACAAAAATTAAAAACTTGAATATTGATATTTTTCAGTGAATTAAAATTCCTTATACACAGAAATTCACAAAAAATTCAAAATTAAATTCAAGAAATCAATCAGAATCATCGCTTAGATAGGCGGAACTAAATGTAGCAGGTGGATACGAGAGCGAAGATGTTTTTTTAACCAATTTAAATCCAGCAAACCGCTCCTTCTGCTCATTTTTTCGTTTCATATCGATTGGCGGCTTTTCTGGTGTCTTCTGAATCTTCTTTGCTTCTGGAATGCTCTTCCTGAACAGCTCCTTGACCATTCTCTCCTCTTCCTCTTCGTCTATCTTATTTTTTAAGACTTCCTCTGCTTTCAGAATCCCAATTGCATCAACGCCTTCTTTTCCACTGTTTGCTTCTAGAATTCCTTCTAATTCTTCCTGTGCCTTCATCTCGCGTCTACTCTGCTTTGTGCGGCGCTCCAGAAGAGTTATTGGATCTAGAACGTCTTCTGAATCCTTGACGTCTCCAAAATTCCGAATTCCAACGCCTTCTTCTCCATCTGAATTTAGTCGTTTCGCTCCTTGCTCACACTTATAATCACAGTTCTCCAAATCGGTTCGAAACGAAATCTGACTCAACCATTTCGGACATTTCATGTGGAATCTGAACAGCTTCAACCCCAAATAATCCTCTCCTTCCACTTTTTCTCGGTCCATATTGAATTTTCGGCCTTTATAAATATTTTCGGAGCATGAATTGCACTGCATATTGAACGGTGTCATCACTCGTTGAACGATTTTTGGGCCACCTGATTTTGTGCCACGTGGAATTTTGGCTGGATCGAAGTCGGATGGATAGTACTTTTGGAAGCATTTTCGTTCGGTTCCCGTCATTTTTGTTGGGCTGAAAAAGAATAAATTAGAATGGGATTATGGGAAAAATTTAGGAGAATGTTTGAAAAAAATTTGAATCAGGAAACTTTCGAAAAAAAAACCAAATTCTATGAAAGTTTGAAATTGAAATTACGGGGGTACGACGAATTCGAACGTTTTCAAAATCGAACAGACCTAAAATCGAACAGACTCAATGCAGAACAGTCTCTTTTTCGAACATGTATCAAAACCGAACAAGGACAGAATCGAACTGTTCCAATTCGAACTGTTACGGATTCGAACAGTGCAAAATTCGAACTGTATCGGCGTCGAACTGTCCCAAATTGGAACGCTTTTAGCCACGGAGCGCGCTTGCATTTTTCTTCAAATTCTCGATTTTTCTCCAGAAAACTTTTCAAAAATACAAATCGTTCTCTGCGAAAATTTATTAGAAGCAAAAAAAACAACAAGAATAGAACAGAAAATGTGAAATATTTTGACAATGTGTTAAAAAATGTTTACGAATTCACGGATTTTATGACGAATTTGCCATCGAAATGCTGTCGAGTAGCTGTATACCAGTAAGCGGAGCATTCGGTGGAAGTGGTGAGTTTTCCAAAGCTTTGATGAGTCTCTTGTCTTTCATAACATTACTCAATCTTCTACTTCTGTTGACCTGAAATGGAGGCAGTTATCTGTTTGCTACTTTCAAATGTCAGTAGCAACTTACTTGAAAATTGGGGTCCAGGCGTAATTCTTCTGCGTCCATCCGAGTGTGTTCTTCTTCCTCCTTAACTTTCATCAAAAGATCGGACATCAAAAAACGGCGTTGATAACTTCTCGTGGTCTTCCATGATTCGCCATTTCCTTCAAATCCTGACGCGCTAGAAACGTCTGAAAAATTACTTTTATAGCGAAGTTTGAATGCTTCCATTAGATTCTCCAAGCTGATACGCACATCGCTTCTAACAGAATCCTCGTCGTGTCTGGCGTGATCTTTTTCAACAGTGAATGTGTTGGTGGCTGGGTCGTAGCTGTAAACGGCGTCACACTTGGCACGTCTCTCTCTGAAACAAACAATTTATTTTTATAAATATAAGATTTTTACCTCTCACACAGTACCAGAGTTCTTTTCCGCCTTTTTTCGTTTTTTTGAATCGCATCGCAAATCCCTCCAGCTTGACGATCGGCTTGTTTCTTCTTGGAGCCATTTTTCTGAAAAACCGTTTCTATTTTAAAAGCTAAAACAGAATTATTTCGTATGAAATTAGATCGAAAACGTTTATTTTTAATTGAGGAAACAATATAAATTTGCGGGAAAAAAGAGAAAACAAAAATAATGCAAGCGCGCTCCATGGCTAAAAGCGTTCCAATTTGGGACAGTTCGACTCCGAAACAGTTCGAATTTCGCACAGTTCGATTCTGCACAGTTCGAATTTGTCACAGTTCGATTCTGTCCTTGTTCTGTTTTGACACATGTTCGAAAAAGAGACTGTTCTGCATTGAGTCTGTTCGATTTTAGGCCTGTTCGATTTTGAAAACGTTCGAATTCGTCGTACCCCCGAAATTACTGTTTCAAAAATTCTGGAAATTTTTTTCTAGAATTTTTTCCTGTATAATCGTTCTACATGGCTAGAAAATTGGATTTATCTCAAAACTTTCCCTTCAAAAAGTGAAATCATCCGGAAAAATATTCAATTAAAGTTTTGGAAAATTGAGAGAAGAAATATTCCGAGTTTTGCATTTTTCAGAATTTTTCAACTTACCGTAATCCAAGCGTTTACATAAAAAAACAGTTTCACAGTATAATATTTACACTCATCAATAGAACATAATATATACGAAAATACAATGGTGTGATGGACCCTCACCATTTGCAATAGAGCGCAATTGCTTTGTGCCTCTGCGTCTACACTGTTTGGGTTATCTCTCAATGCACCATTCAGAAGACAATGTCCTTACTGAAACTGTTGGGTTTTTTGAAGAAAAATCGTAAAACCTGTAACAGAACACTGTCAAATTTGAGCTCTATTATCTCGGTTACTATAAGATATATAAAAAATGTGTCAACTGATAAAATGTATGTGATATTATGAAAATCAGTTTATCAGTTGACAAATTTTTGGTATCTTTAACAGGAACCAAGATAAATTGGTTCAAAGTTTGGCATTAGAGGGCCCGTCTATTACAGATTTTACTGTATAACACATAAATTTCATATAAGAGGTTCCAGGAATCATGCCAGATTTACATAGGGGTAGGCACAAAATGTTTTCAATGAATTTTTTAAAAAATTCATAAAATCTGAAACAGTGATTTTTCAAAATTTGGGGAATTCTGATATTATTCTATGAAAAAAGGAAGATGTGGAAGAGAGTCGCCGGTGGTCGAAGGTCCTACAACGACAGCTACAGTAACCTGAAAATATTTGTATTGTCTCGATTTTTACTAATTTTCGTCGATTTATCCGCTATTTTTTCCTTCAAAATCCTCATGAAAATCTCGAAAAACAATTCCCCTAAAACTTAATTTTAGATTACTGTAGTTTTCGTTGTGGGACCTAAAAAAGTACTCAAGTAAGTACAGTACCAGAATAGTAATTATTTATTGCAAGCAGTATGAGAAGAAAACATGAAAACCATAAATAAGATACATAACAGAACTTTCTCAAAATTAATAGATATTCTGATGTTCTGGATAAGCTGGAGCAGCCTCGTCTCCCTTTCCGTTGGTTGGTGGTGCTTCTCCTCCTCCGGCTCCTTCTGGAGCGGCTTCTGGAGCAGCAGCAGCAGCTTCTGGCTCAGTAGCCTTCTCAGCTCCAGCTGGCTCAGCTCCAGCTGGCTCAGCTCCTCCTCCGGCTCCCTCGGCTGGTGCGGCCTCGGCTGGCGCGGCTTCTGGCGCGGCTTCCTTCTCAGCTCCAGCTGGTTCGGCACCTCCTCCAGCTCCAAGAGCAGCGGATCTTGGTGGGCATGGGCAGTAGGCGGCGTCAGATCCTGGTGCTCCATCAGCTCCAGCCTCTCCATCCTTTCCTGGCTCTCCAGCAGATCCATCCTTTCCGGCTGGCCCTGGTGGTCCAGCAGGTCCAGCAGGTCCTGGTCCTGATCCTGCTCCAGCTTCTCCATCAGCTCCAGCTGGTCCTGGTGGTCCAGCTGGTCCGGCTGGTCCTGGGGAGTTGGTGCTCTTCTGTCCATCAGCTCCTTTCTCTCCATCTTTTCCAGCCTCTCCATCCTTTCCATTTGGTCCTGGTGGTCCTGGTGGTCCCGGTGGTCCAGCCTCTCCTGGTGCTCCAGCATCTCCATCTTTTCCGGCATTTCCTGCTGGTCCTGCTGGTCCAGCTGGTCCATCTGGTCCGGCTGGTCCTGGCTCTCCAGCTGGGCAAGAGATACACTTTCCTCCGTTGACATCCATTGCCATTTGAGCGACGCCTGGCATACCATTTCCTCCATCCTCTCCATCGGTTCCTGGCTCTCCTGGTGTTCCATCTTGTCCAGGTTCTCCTGGTGGTCCAGCAGGGCAACCGGATGCCTGGGCTCCGCAGTTGCACTGTTGCTCATTTCCTGCTCCAGTAGCATATCCAGCTTGTCTGGTCTTTCTGGCTGTCAGTCCTCTCATTCCTTCATTGACCATCATCGTTCTCCATGCATCATCATAATAGCCACGGAATTGAGTCAAATCTTGAGAGATCTCATCGGAAAAGTTATTTATATCGATGAGAATCGAGGCAGAGATAATGATAGCAGTGACAACGGAAACTGCTGTGACAGTAGTCACAACTCCAATTAAGGCTTGAGTCATTCTGAGAAGCTGTTCTTATCATTCGATCCGCTTTGTTTTTATAGGAATCCCTGGGTGGCCAGTTGTGATAAACTTGATCTTATCAGTTTGATACGGGACAGATATACCAGTTGGACATTCTTATCAGCAAACCATTAAACATCTGATCCAATTAGTAATGAGAAATTTCAGCAGAGATAATTATAGTCATGAATGATTAATTTGATGGATTATATGCTAAATTGGTGATTAGCAGTGTTCGTGATCTTTGCAAAAATATTAAAATTAAAGAAAAATAATTTGAAATCTATTCCGGTACAAAACTATAGGATATATGGGAGAAAAACGCCGATGGCCGTGGTAGAAGGTCCCACAACGACAACTACAGTAACCTGAATTTTTTTCCCAAATTTATTTTCTCGATC